TGCCTTCTGCCGGAAGGCAGCAGGTTTCAGCCTTGCGGGGAGCTCTGACTCATTCTCTGTGTTTTGCTCTGTTATTTTTTCCTATTGAAATTAGTTCCGTGCTGAAACAACTGAGTACGGTTTAGAGAGTTGTGAGATAGAACTCATATCTGAAATCTGTGAAGGTCTTTCTCATAACCGAGGCTGATGTGAAATAAAAGAAGTATTTTTACAAATTAAAATCACATGTCATGGAATTTATTAAGTAAATATTTCAGGTACAGCGAGGCACTGTATTGTTCAAACGTGGAAGTAAAATTGACTTGAATTTCATATCCCTTCGTGAGGAGTGATAAAAAGAGTAGAACCTAAAGATTGAGGGGTTTGAGCTAGATTTTTCTTCATACAGCCGTCTAGCTGACTTAAAGGTGAAATGGCATAGAGACATACTATCTGAGGGCAAGGATATCTAAGGAAGCTGCTAGTGCTGTGCAAATTTTATTCATAATTGATAGCCTACAGTGACTTGGTATTAATATCTAAAAATAGTGCTAGAAGGCACTGCTTGTGGAGGTGTTATCTGTGGAATAATATCTTCATAAAAGCAAAACAAAAGCCTAGTAGGGTATGCTAAACGTTCTGTCTGCTTGACATTAAATATTCTAGCCTTCTCTGTGTTTGTGGATGTGATATTTGGGGGGTCCAGGTATATTTCTGCAATAAAGTACTTGACTATACGATTTCAGTTATATCCTTATTGTTACTTTACTATTTAATTTAGTTAATGTAAAATGATTGTGCAAAAGAGTAGTTGTCATTAGAATAGGAACCTCTGCGTTTACACTGAGTAGAACTTTTTTGTTTCCACTTTTGGAGGAAAGGATACTATGCAAATGACACAAGTACAGTTTAACTGCAGCAGGAGCATTTCAGCTTCATCTGTGATCTTCGGCCTTTAAATGCTTCTTGACTCGGGCTAAAGACTTTATTATGTCAAGAGCGTTTGGATTGGATCCAAATTCCTATTAGCTAGATCTAGAGTATAAATAAACCTGGTGCCCAGAATGTGCTGTCCTCACCAGTGAAAGAACTGTGGGCAAAATCCATTGCCTCCGTATGAACAGTGCTCTGTTTAAAGGAACATCAAAGCTTTATCCTGTGTCTGAGCTGCCCTTGCTGTATGTCTGTGCCTTTTGGGATAGGCAGAATGCCTGTCAGTCAGCTTTCCTGATGGCTGCCCGTGCTGGGGTGAGCCCCAGAGGAGCTGGTGTGCTGCACGTACTGGCTCTGAGCAGGAGAAGCACCCAGTGCATCCAGTCAATCAGACTGGCCATGCCAGGCAGTCTGTGTGGAATAGGAGAGCGTGTGGCCAAGAGAAGCTCAGAGCCCAGGCCTGGAAGTCAAAACAGGAGGAGGGTTGCCCAGTCGCATGTCAGCCTATTCTTACCAGTTGGACTGCTGCAGGTGTGGTGCTAACACGGAGACCTGGCTGCAAGACATGCGGTGAGGGGCTATAGGGCAAGGCCTTGAGGAGTTAAAGAAGCACTTGCTCCAGAGGAGATCTGGGTTGCTGCAGACACAGTGGGTAATGTGAGCTACAGGTATGGAGAGGAAGGGGTGGAGCAGGTCTCTGAACTGAGGGAAAGAAGAACACGTGGAGAATAAAAAGAAAGCGATGGAATGGCCTGGATTAGACCATACCCTTCCTTTCCTCTGTACTCTTTGGCCAAACTCCTGTGAGTATATAGGTGCACTTACTGCATATTGCCATTTTCTTGAGTCCTACAGCTGACTTTCTGCAGATCATTTTCTGCCTTCCATGTGTGTTAATGTAAGTTATCATCACAATCTACCTGTCTGGAGGTGACATGGTAGTTGAATAAGCAACTGCAGTTCCTCAGAACTCGTGGAACAAAACAATTTCCCCTGTTCCACATGTCACATTTATTTAGATTCCCGATTAGACCAGTATGTCTGGTGTTCTGGTACATCTGTTATAAAGCAACTCATCATTTTGGTGGGTTGCCCTATACCTAATTCTCTTCATTCAGGATTTAATTTTAATGCTTTCTTTGAATTTCCCTAAGTCAGAACTCAAAAGTTTCCATCCATTGTGCATCGACTGTTCTTTCCTGAAGGGTGTAACTTGAATTTTTCACTAGTGTTTGCAATTCTGGAGTCCTAGAACCACTTCAGCTACAGTTAAAAATCTGGAAGTTTAGAGGTCTTTTCAACGCAGTACAGCCTTGCATCTGTTAAAGTCGTTTCGAAGAGCAGGCCTCTGATGTAATATTGTACGTTGCTGCTGTAAAATCTGTTGTGCTGTGACTTCACTGGCAGCTGCACAAGGGCTTTGTCATTGTTAGGACGGAGCAAGAGCACAGGAGGAGCCACGTGTGGCTGACGCTGTGTGCTGATCCTGGGCACGGCAAATGGTTGTCACTCACCACTTTCTTTCTGAAACTTTTGGTCTTATGGCACATGATACTGTTCTGCAATGCATGGAGGGTATTAACTAGAAAAACATATGAACCATAATGCTGGGCTCCTCAGTTCAAGAAGGACAAGGAACTACTGGAGTGAGTTCAGTGCAGGGCCACTAAGATGACTGGGAGTCTGGAGCATCTAACATGAGGAAAGGCTGAGAGAGCTGGGTCTGTTTAGCCTGGAGAAGAAGAGGCTGGAGGAGGATCTCATCAGTCCTTATAAATATTTCAAGGGTGGGGCCAGACTCTTCTCAGTGGTGTCCTGTGACCGGACAAGGGGCAGTGGGCACAAACTGGAAAATGGAAGGTTCAACCTAAACATAAGTAAGTACTTCACTGTGAGGGTCACAGAGCACTGGCACAGGCTGCCTGGAGAGGTTGTGGAGTTTCCTTCTCTGGAGATGTTCGAAACCCGCCTGGATGCGTTCCTGTGTGACGTACTGTAGGTGATCCTGCTCTGGCAGGGGGGCTGGACTAGATGATCTTCAGAGGTCCTTTCCAACTCCTGCGATTCTGCAACTCTTGTGAAACTTAAATGCTTATTTAGTTTCTTAGTGATATTTTTTTTCTCCTTGATCTTTTTCAGTGCCTCAAGTGTGACCATAAAATATGATTCTTTGCCTGCTGCCACAAACTTCTTAAGTACTTCTTTTGCCATTTCGTCACCTGGCTTCAACTACAATGGTAAGTTATGATTCAGATAGTATATTTTCAGATCATTTTGTCTGCTAGTTGTGTGGCTTATGAGGAGAATGCTGTCAACCTTTCACATTTTCTTTAAAGAACTTTTGCTTATCACTCCTGAGTTCTGGTATTTCTTTTCTCAGGGACGTGTTCCTTCAAAGCTTGTGAGAACAAATTTTCTGCTTGTCAACTCTAATTGTTTTGGTTAATATTTTACCACTTTTATTAGGTGTGATTTCTATTCCTACTTTTAAATGTGATTGCCTTTCGTTGTTCTAAGACTTCATAATTTAGCCAAAACCTTACAAGTGTAGACACTCGGTGGTCGGATTAATTACTTTTGATGCATTTATGTAATTTATGTCACAGATCTGTGACATTTTGTATGTGCCAATGAGTATTTGAGCCCATCTTCTACCTACAAATTGATATCAGTACTAAGAGAGTTTTTGTGGTTTTTTTAATGTATTACAGTTTTTAAGCAATTAATGTAATTTCTAAACAAACCTTTGTAATTCTTGCAGCAACAAGCTTTAGAACTGGCATTGGATCGTGCAGAGGTAAGGCATAGCTGTTGTTTGTTTGCATATAATACATCGGTCTTGCAGTTAAAAAATAACTGCTGTATTTCTGTTTCTTCTGAAAAGCAGTGGCGAGACGCATGTGTGTATTTAATTGATTACTCATACATTTGACACTGGTTATGCAAAATTCTTACCAAAATTGCGTTGTCACATACTTGTCTCTTATGTGTTGTACTGAGAACATCATCAGGTGTGTTGATGATGGGCTGTGCAGGACTTCAGTTTTCCTCTTAAACCAGCAAATCTGTGTACTGTGAAGTAAGAAAAGCTGTACAGAGACAGCTGACAGAAATATAGGGCAAAATCCTGTTTGTGTTTTTAAGTGTAGCCTGGTTAGAATAAAGCGGCCAGTGCCTCTGTGTTCATGTTCTTTCATGCTGAGATCTGATACAATGGTCACCTTGAACCCTGTTATGGAAAATAGATGTTTCTGTGGGAGAACCTCTCTTCGCTAAAATTCTAAACTAAGCTGGTAATCAAAATACCTAAACAATAGAGATTTGGAAAAACCTTGTTAGAATATAAACTGTATTTAATACAGGAAGATACCTTTCTTCATTAATTCAATTTAATGAATGTGAAGTGTATTTGTAGTACACACTTCTCCGTAGAGAAAACTAGTGTAAGAGGACAAGGGGAAAATTTGTTGCGTACTTGATTTGTAAATGTTGTTGGGCTGGTATGCATGAATTTCTTGTATCTTAACATGTTAACTTCAGATGCCATGTTAGCTTCGGTAGCGTTAATTAAGTACAGGAGTGTTACTGCTACACTAGTGTTAGTTACTACTGTAACTACAAAACGTGAAGGTAAAATCAAGACTTTGTGTGCAACTCATGCCATAGCCATGAAATGTTGTGCTTCACAGCTAAGTTGAACTGTGTCCTTTTTGATTACTATAACGTGCACCAGATTGTAATTAGTATGCTTTTGAAACAGTTGTGTACCATAACCATTAACTAATTTCTCTATATATGGAACAGTCTGGTAATGATCTAAAGTTTCATGGTAGCTAGAATTAAATTTCTTCATAATACGTGTTATTTTTTTTGTTTTACTTTTCTCTTCCAGTATATAATTGAAAGTGCCCGTCAGAGACCTCCCAAAAGAAAATATTTATCCAGTGGAAGGTAGTAAGAGTTTTGGTATATAGTTTTTAAATAGCATTTCTTTGATTTAGTTTTAATTACATTTTAAGCTTTTTTCTCAATTTCAGAAAATCTGTATTTCAAAAACTCTATGATTTATATATAGAAGAATGTGAAAAAGAACCTGAGATAAAGGTAAGTGGAAATTGCTGAGAATCTTCTCATTGCTGTCTAAGCAGGCAAGTTCAGAAAATGATTATTTTTTTTTTTAATTTTACTTAGTTCTTTTGTTAAAAAAAGAATAAACTCTGGTTAGTGTAGTTGTTACCTAAGGCTAAGACTGCAGGATAAATAGTTATTACGGCTTTTGGACTAAACTGTATAGTTTAATAGCATCATCTTAGTTTAACTTGAAATAAAAACAAGGTGATGGGAGGGCCAATGACTACCTGATAGCTCTAAATCTGTTTTCAAAGGTAAAAAAATAGAATGCTGGCAGAGGCTTGTAAGGATCAGGCTCTTGAGATACTTTACTATGCATGAAAAGAGAGAATTTCAAAAGAATGGTGTATATAAAAAGTTTGTTAGATAACAGTACTATTAAAATGAGTGCTATAACAAGAATAGTAGGGCCTAGACTGGCTTGAGTGACCTGTATGTTGTCTCTAAAGTCAGTTGTGGTCCAGTTCAGCGACAGTGCCGATACCACTCGTATTGTTGTTGGTATCACTATTTTAGAATCAATTGCTTTAGCATGACTGCCATGGGAAAAAACTTGGAGAATTTCTTAGAATCTAGACTTTGTAAACTCAGATTTACTTCCCAGATATCTGATGATCTGCTAAGGCGTTTTTTGTTAGCAAATGTTAGCAAAAAGCTCAAACAGGTTTAGCAACAGTAAATTTAAGATTTAAAAGGCACAAACTGCTTTGCTTAACTGTGAATATCAAATGGATGGAGAAGACAAGCTGTGAAATCTGCTGTGTTGCTTCTTCCTGAGGAATTTAAAACCATCGAGAAGACAAATGGGAATGAGATATTAGTTACTGAATACCTGCAATTCTTTTTGCAACTACAATAAAATTGGAGTAGTGAAAGTTTCAGAATGCTGTTAAGAAAAGCAATTTCAGTTTCATGTTGGATTAGGGCAAAAATAATAAAGCATACAAAAGCACTTTTACAGCAAAGTAGCAGATAAAATGTATCCTAGTAGCTATGATACATGAGTAAACCAAATGGTGCCAGATAAGTGGGGTGTTTTTTTGTTTGTTTCGGTGGAATTTTGTGGTCCTTAATCTCTAATGGTGATGACTGACAGAGGCAGAGTTGGATGTATTTGGGAAATTGTATAAAACACCATATAGAATCATACAATCATAAAGGTTGGAAAGTACCTTTAAGATCATCAAGTCCAACCTACAGCCCTACACCACCCTAACACTAAACCATCTCCTGAAGTGCCACATCCAACCGTTTTTTAAACACGTCCAGGGATGATGACTCCACCACCTCCTTTGGCAACCCATTCCAATGCTTCACCACCCTTCGGTGAAGAAGATTTTCCTAATATCCATCCATATGGAATGCATCTTTCTGTTCTTGAAGAAAATATAACTAACTCGCATATGTAAGGTGAGGAAACTGAGTGTAAGAATGCACTTTAAAGCAAAGCTAACCTCATTAGGGTGAAGCAAGGAGACTGTTCAGACCATAGTACTCCTGAAGCTTGGTCTGCAAAAACTTACCTTAGGTGCTCTGTGTGAAACGAAAATGTTCTCTTGCCTTTACTACAGAGGCTGCACAGCCCTTGTCTTTGAGCTAATACGAGTCTCTATTGGAACAGCAGCCTAAAGATTGACAGAGCCAGTTACATGCTAAGGGAAGTACACTGAGAGTTAGAGTCTTCCCTCTGTATCTGATTTCAGTTCAGCTAGGTCGCAAAGATCTTTAGGCTTCAGTTTATTCGTCGTGTTTTTTAACCAAAAAGTGATGCTTCCCCAAGTCGTTTCATTGAGTCAGCTTTTATTTTTCGGTCAATGGATAAAAAAATCTTCTTTGCTTTTTCTGCTTCCTGAAAGACTAGTGCTTAGAGTTGTTTGTGAAGTTAATTTTCAAAGACTTGATAGTTCTGTTGGAAGTTGAGACAAAATGGTACCTTCCAAGGTGCATCAAGTATGCGTTCATTAATGAATTAATGAAACGTGCCCAAAGTCAAGGAAACAACTTTGGGTGCTTGTTTCAGATTTCCATTTCAGAGATACAGTAAGTAGCGACAGTTGCTTTTTTATGTGGATAAAAAGCCAAAGCTGGCCGACTATTATTGAACAAAACCTAAAAATTTAAATGAAAACGTAGCATGCTATTCACTGAATAAATTATTTAAGGTATGATGCAATTAAGTCAATTTAATTACATTTACAGTTGAATTACCATTATATAATTTACTTATGAGGTGTATAAGGAGCAGAGACTTTCCATAAAATAAATCACATAGCTATTTGTTCCATGCATAGACAAATTTCTGGGGAAAAAAAAGATGAATTGTTTCATTACAAATTCTCCAAGTGGTTAACACATAGTATGAATTATTCAGCATTTGTATTTTGGATGGAATCGTAGAATCATAGAATGGCCTAGGCTGGAATAATACCCTTAATTGAATTATCCTTTTTCTTCAGTTCATGAAAATGGTAAAGTTGAATTATGAGTATTAATAGTATTATTAGTAACAACTTCTACAGTCAGTTTTGTTTCTGTCCAATGATAGAGGAATGTAATTGTTTTTTGGTTGCCTTTTTATTTAAAAATGAAACATTAGTGTAAATAATTCTTTTTAACCTCTCTTAAATGACCTGATGATTTTTTTGTTTGTTTTTTTAATCAACTCTTAGAGAGTTCTTATATTCTTTTCTACCCTAATGCCATTGCATAACTAAATATGAAAGTATTAATCGGTCCAGCACTGGGGAAGAAGTACAAAGACTTTTTCCTTAAAATTATGACAGTGCCTTGATTCTTAAGAGAAAACATGTCAGAGTAGTTGAGTGTGTTGCCTTTGCTCTCAGGTGGCATTTGTGGTACTTCGGGCTCCTATCTGGTGTGCCTTAGCGACAGCCTGGTAGCTCTGTCTCTGCAGCGATGGGTCTGAAAGTCGAAGCAGTGCACGTGCAGGGTTCTCGAGTGGGTGTTGGGAAGAGTTAACGGGAGTTTTAACTGAAAAAGGTTTTGCATCACAGACTGCATCTCCAGAGTCCTGTATGAGGAATTGGCTTTCCTAAGCAGTTTCTATCTCTGTTGTTGCCATGACATATTTTCCACCCATTTTTTTCCTGCTTCTCCAGTTCTTTCTCCATAAATTCTCTGGGATTTATGTGCTGCTTTGCTCTTTTCTTTGTGTTAGTTTCCATGATTTCTAAAAGCTAGTCAGGTGTAGTCACCATCCTTCATGATGCCTGGGGAAGAGTTAACTTTAGGCAGTGGTTTTAAAGCTACATAG